TGCGCTTTGGGAGGCTGAGGTGAGTAGATTGCCTGAGCCCGCGGGTTCGAGACCCACCTGGGCAACTTGGTGAGACCTCATTTCTACAATAAATCAAAAAATTAGCCGGGCGTGGTAGCACACACCTGTAGTTCCAGCTCCTTGGAAGGCTGAGGCGGAAGAATCGCCGGGGCCCAGCAGGTCGAGGCTGTGGTGGCCGGGAGTGGCCACTGTACTCCAGTCTGGGCGACAGAGTGAGACTCCAACTCAAAAAAATTAAAAATTTAAAAAATTTAAAAAATTTAAAATAAATTTTAAAAAAAGAAAGGAAAGGAAAAGGAGCATCATAGATGAACTACACACTTGAGCACTTAATACTTATGTCTTCACTATGTTAAGCACCAAGTCTAGGAGACCAGAAACAGCATCAGTACTGACTGAGTTTCAGTGAGAAGACAGCACCATGGATGGAGAGGATTCAGCAAAAGCGCATTCCTTAGGTCGGGAGAAAGGTTGCTTTCTTAGCAGGAGACAGCATGAACCTAGGCAGCCAAGTTCTCATTCCAGGAAAGATACTCAGGGACGCGGTTGGAAAGGACAACAGAGGCAGGACAAGAATCAAATGAGTCATGAAAAAGAAAAATTTAAAAATCAGGAATAGTGTAGTATCCTTGAAGTCAAGGGGAGAAATTCTTTTGCAAAGGATGGGTGGTCAATACTATTAAGTTGCAAAGTAGAGGTCGAGAAAGGTTAAGATGAACCAACTCATTCCATTGGATGACAACCAGTTGAATAAAGTATTGGCACAGACACCGCCTCAGAGGAGTTCACGAAAGACTAGAAAGAACAAGGACTGTCAGTCTAGGTTGAATTTTTCTTTCCTAAATGAGGCCAAAATGGCCAGAGCAGCCCTAAAACAGATATTCAAGACTGTTCAAGGGCTTCCTTGGTTTTCCAGAAAGGTAATAAGCTTCAGAGACAGACAGTATGGGGACTCAACCCTACAGCTACATTTTCTAATCTCCCCGATTCCTCATCATTTGTTATTATTTTTTAAAATCACATAATAGTACTTACCTTGCAAGGTTCTTTTGAGGATAAAAATAATGTGTCCGGCCAGGCTCAGTGGCTCAGCCTGTAATCCCAGCACTTTGGGAGTCCAAGGTGAGTGAATTGCCTGAACCTGCAGGTTCAAGACCAGCCCCGACAATTTGGTGAGACCTTGTCTCTACAATAAATAAAAAATTAGCCGGGCATGGTAACGTGTGCCTGTAGTTCCGATTACTTGGAAGGCTGAGGTGGAAGGATCACCAAAGCCCAGCAGGTCGATGTTGGGGTGGCCGTGAGCATGCTACTGCACTCCAGCCTGGGCAACAGAGTGAGACTCCGACTCAAAAAAATAAAAAATAATGTGGACTAGCACTGTGCCTGACATAATTTATAAATCACTCCATCTCCCTTTTTTCTTTTGAGTAATCCCAAATAGGCATGGATACTATAGAATCTCATTTTCCTTAAAATATTAAAAATGATGGATTTACATATAAATTTATAAATTAAAATTCCTGTTAAATGGTTTGGGTATAGTCCTGCTAAGGGGATTGACTAACCCTCAAGATTCACTTTTATGGAATGTGATTTCATAATGTCATTAAAATAGGTTGTAATTGAATTACCTCAAGTCATTTAGGATAGAAGCAGCAATCTCAAAAACAAAGAGTTATTTTCTAGCTTCAAAATAAAATATCCTTTCCCCCCTCCCCAAAGAACTTCTTTTCAGATCTATTCTTGTTTTCCCTCTTGGGAAAGCAATTTCCTTCAGTTGGCAACTTTTCCAACTTCTTGTAAACTGGCAGATCAAAGAACAGCCCTTTGAATATGAAAGCTGGAGGTAACCTTAATTAAAGAGATTCTCTATGATAAATGGGGCATTCAATTTCTTTTAGATTGTTTTTCAGCGAGTATAATCAAATCACTTTTTAGAAAAGTGAATTTAATTCAACTCTATGGTGGACATACAAGTAAAATCATGCCAATTTCATTATTCATGTATAATTCTTTCACTATTGTTTTTGAAAGATTGACTTGGAGAGTAATTACAGTAACTGCAACACAGTGAGTCGTGCATTTCACTAGTGGTCACTGTTGAAATGAACAGCACATCCTTTTCATAAAAAGTTATCTGGCATGATCATCATACCAGGCACTGTACCAGTCCTGGAGATATGGAGACTTAGAGACACATCTTGAGGCATTCAAGCTCCTCAGGGAGCTGTCAGTAGTGTAGGAGACTGACAAATAAGCAAATTATACACCATGACAAAAATTATAAATATGCCCGACGTAGAAAAGTAAACCAGAAGAGGTTGGACTGACTTCATTTGGGGGAATCAGGAAAAGCTTCCTAGATAGGATGGCTGAGCTGGGGTTTACAAAATTAATAGAAACTGACTTTTCCATGTCATCCCCCACAAAATCAAGAGGAATATCACAAAAGCCTGCTTCCTGTGGGAGGCTGAAGACCAAACAAAAGGAAGGAGGAGCTGCAAGCTGATCATCATATGCC